TCTTAAGATTATGAATTTCGATCTTTTCATTTTCATAATTCTTTGTTCCTTGAAAAACGAAGAAAAAGTGGCAAAATATAAAGAAAAAATCGAAATAGAAAAGAACATTTTTGATCGAAAACTTCCTTTTCTTTTTTACATTTCTTGACCATTTTACCAGAAAAGCATTTGATTTTCTTGCAAAGGCTTTGACCTTAAATGTTGAATCTTTATTGAATCATTAAACTTGAAAATAAAACAAACAATTTGAACTTTTTTTTATTGCCTTTTGCATTTAACTTTTACTGTTTAATTGTTGAGATTTAAAGTGATGCTTTAACTGTCATTTATTGATCTATTAATAACGCGCAAAGGAAGACACAAAAATACCATTTTTGACTTTTCAAGTTGGTGACCTTTCTTTTAATGGATACAAGACAGTTTCAAGTAAAGGCAAAACAATTTAACTAGTCAATAAGGAATCAACATCAATCAACATGGTAATAGTTTAATTTGACGGTGGAAACAATCATCAATCATGGTTGTTCAATAAAATTGGCATCAAAGTTATTTTATCATTTATTGTATCACAAAGAGAATGAGAAGAAAAAATTTGTTTCCCCAAAATTGAAACCTTCATCGGATGCGATACAAATTCATTACTTGGTCAAGAATATGATTAATGAACATTTGTAAACATTTAGAATCATCTAATGATTATCAAATCAAACGATTAAATAAAGTGATGAAAATGGACAGCAAAATGATTCAATTGAGAAAAAACGAAAAGCAAAATTAGATTAACCGAGGATTCAACCGAGTATTGAGATTATCGTGAAAAGAAAGGATTACAATGAGAAAAGAGTTGAACTTGAAAAGTAAATTGAATTTCATCACTTGGACTAGAATGAGATTTTCCATGAAAATGATTATTCTACTGGATTTACTGTTGAAAGATAAAAGTAAATTTAATAAAAGGAGAAAAATTTTCAAATTATTTCCAAAAATGATTTTACCTTTTCTATTGAAAAGCAACTCCAAGCTGCACTGGGAGTTGAGATTATCAATTTTTTCCAGTGAAGAGTTTATTTTTAATTGTTGGACATTATTCAAGGTAATTGCATTGGCCATCATGGAAGAACCTTTTGTCTTTTGAAACTGAGATAATTAGCTGAATCTTGTTTTCCACTGTTTATGGAAATACAAATTGACTTTGATAAATCCTCTTCATCCTAAGCTAAATATATTTTACTCTAGGGCTTCCTTTTCATAATTGTGTTGAGCATTTAGTTGAAGTTCATCTTTACAGTTTCATTTTATCCTCTCTTTACAGTCGCACAAACGACTTATTAATATTTGGTAAACTTGAAAACAATGAAAAGGTTCAATTGGAAATCTCGTTTTTCCCTTTTTACTGAATCAACTTTTGCATTTAATTTTGTTAAAAAGTTATCCAATTTCATGGCGAGTCTGGTTATCATTTTTAGCAAAAAAAGAGCAAAGACTTATTCAATTTCAACTTTTCACCCAAAAAAAGTAAACAGACAAACATTGAATAACTTTTTTTCCCTCTTTACCATTGAACTGAACAATCTCTAGTTAGTCATTTGGCAATCTCAATCACTTTGTTTGCTCTTTTCTTGTCTTTACTTTTTTTCCTGTTCAACCAACATGATTGAGTAAAGCCTGAATAATCATGTTTTTTACGCTTTTCATGGTTTCTTTTGCACACTTAATAACATTCAATCTTGTTCATAAATCTTTGTTTTTTGCTCCAACTTTTTTTCTTCTCTTGCAAACATTATTCTTGCAACTTGATTTACTTTCCAAATGTAATTTACAAGTTAAATTGTCGACTAATTATCTTGTAATTGAAATTATCCATTGGAACAATTGCTTTTTCTGTGGTTTTCCGATTACTTTTTTGTGCAATAAAAGCAAATAAAGTCAAACTTAAGAATAAAATTGAAATGTTTGAATCGAAGGAAAAGTCTTTTAAAAGCGCTTTTCCTATTCATTTCAATAACGAATCTTTCAATTATTTTCCGGTTCCATTCAGTCCTTCATCCTGACAGAAGACTCAAGATGGATGAGAGGCAAACATGGTGAGCATTATTGTTTGGGTGAACCTTTTCTCTTCATTTTTGTGTCTCTTTTCAAGTTATGCTTGGTTGCTATCATGAAATGCAACCAGAATCAAGCATCGCTCAGCATCCTTTTTTAGATGGATTATCATTATCATCACCAAGATTATGATCATCATTTATTCCTCCTTCTTTATCATTTCGCTTTTTTTTTCGAACCAACTTTTTTTCTCCCTTCACTTTCCTTTGTTTTTTTCTCCTTTTCCGTTTCTCATTATTCATCATTGTAATCATTGAACAAGCCAAGATTTTGTTGAACAACGTTTCAATTGATTATGAATAAAAGCTAAAGTTTAATGTTGACTTTTCTGATTATCACTTGAATCGTTTAAAATGTTATTCAACTTCAATGGCAACCAATAAATTTCATCTGATTCAAGCAGAAAAAGTTGAAAATCATTTGGTTTGTTTCATGAATAATAAATAATCAGTAAAAGCAAATTGACACTTTGTTTTGCAAAATCGACAGCAAAAGTTGCAAGAAATAAGAAAATGTTGAAATTGCATTTCAAGCTGGAAAACGAGAAAAAATTGCAAACAAGAAATTTAAAGAATTGAAATTTTCTCTGTCAAAGACGCATAAATTCATGGACAACAAATGTCCTTTTTTTCACCATTCCTTTATGTTCGTCAATCAGTCAAGATAAAGGTCTGTACAATGTTGGGTGAAAGACGGTAAAAGTCATTGAAATTGGAAGAGAAGAAAAGAGAATCTTGAAAATCGTGTTTAGAATAATGAAGAAGATGAATAAGATGAGGAAGAAGAGAAAAGGTGGAAAAATAAGATTGAAAGAAAAGGTTTGCTGTTCGAAGCAAAAGCAACAGCAAATAGTCCAAGACAATCGATGCAATCAAAGATAATCACAGTCACTTAAGTTAAACCGGTAAAATGGTATTCATTGCAGAACAATAATGACTATCATTACGACCTTTTAGGCAAACTTTAATCGAAAGTCAATCTTTGCTTTTTCATGGTTCCTCGTTTCGAGTTTGAAAAGTTTTGCAAATTTTCCATCACAACTTGCTCATCAGTTGTTGATGAATGCTGACCATTACTTTTAATTTCTTGCAACAACTTTTACTTCATTTTCCTCTTTCTTCCAATCATCATCATCCCGTTGGCCATTTATTGGTCTCTATCAACCTTATAATGCAAACAACATGACAAACCACAAAAGCTGCTTTTGCTAATAAAACTTAACCTCTTGAGAGTTTCAATGAAAAGCCTTTCATTTTCGTGTATAAACAAGTTGTACAAGTTTCCACCTTTTCGAGTCTAGTTGAATGGCGAAAACATTTTGCATGGAAAGCCAAATGAATTGTTGCCAATTTATCCGTACTTTTTGTTCGAATAACCATTGACATCTCAACCTCTCAATACAAGCTAATCAAGAGACAAGACGAACATTCCTCAAGCTAATTGAACAGTAAATGATGAAAAGATCTTGCATTTTCAATCGAAATGCAAGTTTATACAAATCACTGATTGACTGATGAATATCATGAAATTATACAAATCTTGTTCTTTCAAGTTATCGAGTTATTGACTTGACGAAATTTCATTTATACCTTAATAGTTTCATTATTGACTTGCAAGTAAATC